TAGAAAAAGTCAATGCCAGTATAGTTGAAACTCAGAAAAATAGCCCTGGGCCTGGGGAAGCAAATCTAAAGAGAAAGCGTGAGCTGGAAGAACTACATCGCGCTAAAAAATACTATCTTTCTGACATAAAAAAGGACAAGACGTCCTTTTATATATATATATATATATATATATATATATATATATATATATATATATATATATATATATATATATATATATATATATATATATATATATATATATATATATATACGGTATATATATATATATATATATATATATATATATATATATATATATATATATATATATATATATATATATATATATATATATATATATATATATATATATATATATATATATTAAGATGAAAATGTTCCGTGTATTATATAATTTCCATATGATCAGTGTGTATTATATAATTTCCATACCCAGCGCAAGCAGAAAGATTTTGCCATATATATATATGCCCCTCAAAGCTTCACTCTTAATTAACGTAATATGACACGAGCAGTTTATAATTGTCTAATTTGGCAATCTTTATTTTGACAATTTTTATTTGTTCGTGTAAAAAGTAAAATATGTGTCAATTTGTCACATTTCGTCATCATTGATACAGGCAAATAGACATTGTCTAATAAAAGTATTTAGTATTTTTGCACAAGTGAACATATCAAATCCTGCAAGTTGACTGGTGAAATTTGACGTATCAATCTGTTATGTTCACCTACAGATAAATATAACAAAACGAAATTTTCAAAATGGCGGCTAATATTTTGTGGATTTAGCAATACTAAAATTAGAAGAAGTATTAAGCAATATTAAAATAAATTCAGTATCAAAAACACAAAAGACTTGTGTAAAAATACTAAAACAATTATTCGCCTCAGGCTTGGTGATTAGGCCTACTGAAGAATATTCAGCTTGAATTCGTCTCGGCGAATATTCCTCGATATTCACCTTGTCTTCGCCTTTGGCGAATAATTGTTAAATAACAATTTAAAGCACGAATGAAAGATACTTTACTTTGAACATTGCTATTCGATGATCCTGTCATCATGTTGCCTTTGAAAGATACGTTACTTTGAACATTGCTACTCGATGATTCTCTCATCATGTTGCCTTTGAATGATACTTTACTTTGAACATTGCTATTCGATGATCCTGTCATCACGTTGGCTTTGAAAGATAAGTTATTTTGAACATTGCTACTCGATGATCCTGTCATAATGTTGCCTTTGAAAGATACTTTACTTTGAACATTGCTATTCGATAATCCTGTCATCATGTTGCCTTTGAAAGATACGTTACTTTGAACATTGCTACTCGATGATCCTGTCATAATGTTGCCTTTGAAAGATAAGTTATTTTGAACATTGCTACTCGATGATTCTCTCATCATGTTGCCTTTGAAAGATACTTTACTTTGAACATTGCTATTCGATAATCCTGTCATCATGTTGCCTTTGAAAGATACGTTACTTTGAACATTGCTACTCGATGATCCTGTCATCGTGTTGCCTTTGAAAGATAAGTTATTTTGAACATTGCTACTCGATGATTCTCTCATCATGTTGCCTTTGAATGATACTTTACTTTGAACATTGCTATTCGATGATCCTGTCATCACGTTGGCTTTGAAAGATACGTTACTTTGAACATTGCTACTCGATGATCCTGTCATGTTGCCTTTGAAAGATACGTTACTTTAAACATTACTACTCGATAATTCTGTCATCATGTTGCCTTTGAAAGATACGTTACTTTGAACATTGCTACTCGATGATTCTGTCATCATGTTGCCTTTGAAAGATACGTTACTTTGAACATTGTTATTCTATGATGCTGTTGTCGTGCTACCTTTGAAAGATACTTTACTCTGAACATTGTTATTTGATATTCTCGATATCTCTGCTGCTGTTTGAATATACTTAACTTTGAACATTTAAATTGGTGATCTCGACATCTCTGCTTCTGTTCGAATCACTGATCTGAAATAAGACTGGATAAGCATCCTATTGAATTCAGAAATCCGATTTTGAAGCCAGAATATTTTAATGAGATGAGATTTATAAATCAAATTCATGACCAGTCTAATCGTTTGCTGTTTAAGTTCAGTTAGACTATAAAGCAAATATCATCGCCTATGTGACTTGTGAAATATAGCTTCCAAAACCTTTTCGAAGTAGTTTTCGAACGTTTTATACACCACCTAACGAGGCTGATGGCGGCCGTATTTGATGGCTCCATTAGTTATTCACCGGCATATTTAGGGGGAAAAAGAGGCCACTGATGATAAATTCTTATCTAGGCAATATTTGTCCTTTCCCACTAGTGACTAGAAACGTAAAGGAAGTGTTAAACATGTTCACAACACGTACCAGATTAGAGTAACAGTGGGGCCATCCAATATGGCCGCCATTGGCTTCACTTATGCACAGCAGATGCTTTATCCAGTCTTATTTCAGATCAGTGGTTCGAATATACTTAACTTTGAACGTTTAGCTTCACGATCCTGTTGGTGTGGAGTATTAGAGAGTTTATGCTTCGCGTTATACGTCAAACGGCAAACGCCAGGCAAAGAAAATTTTTACGATATCAGATAAATAAAGAGCAAATTAGCTTGCTGTTTTAAAACTGAAATACATAATTATTCTTTCGACACAAGATAGAAAATATGAAACGAAAACGTTCAACAAAAATTTTGGCAAGAAAATTCAAACCTGCCGTTTGAATTGCCGTTCCCGGAAACGTGAAGCTTATTTAGCTATTTAAGTAACTCTTTATTCTTATTCATTTACGTGGGAGAGGCGATGCACTGCATGATTGTGTTTAAGTGTTTTCCACAGTATAAACTGAATTTATCATGCGGTACCTCGATCTACTTTCCATTATTCTTGATTGGTTAGTGGAGCAGTGGAGAGGATGGTGCGTTGTAAATATATGTTGTGAATTTCTCTGTGAACTTTTACTGTATACTGTAGTTCATGTAAAGTAATTTAACATCATTTTGTAAAAATGTTGGGGGTTTTTTTTTCATAATTTAATCCAAATTTTCACCGTATTTTGCTGAAAATATGGCAATTTCTATTCGAAATTTATATAAAAAATTCGATCAGAACGCAGGAAATCGCATTTCCGAGGTTCTAGATTTCCAAATTTTGCAAAGACATGAGGAATTATGCATCTCTCAGCTAAAACCATGGATCCGGCCCTGTTGTAAAGGCCTAAGAACATATTTATTATCCAAATATGTAGTAGATAAACCATAATAAGTAGACAATAACTGTAAATATAAATATAATTATTTTAACTTATACTTTTTAGATAACATAGAGATAAACTTTACTTTGTAATCTATAGCAGTTGAAGACATGGGCTAACCGGGGGGGAAGCCCCCCAGTTTGTTGGGCAAACAGTCGGGCAATATTGGCTTATTATAAAAATAAATGGGACAAATTCTGTGTATTTTGTGGGAAATTCTGTCAATTTTGTAGAAAATATGCTATGTAATAGGAATTTTTCGTAATCAATCCCCCCCCCCCGTCGACAACAATTTTGGAAAGTTTCTCCGAAAATTTTCTTTTGACAACTCGGACACAATCCAAAAAAATAGGGCAAATCTCTTTCCGCCCCCATAATTTTTCAATTCCCGTACGCCCATGGTTGAAGAGCCACTCTGTGGATACACCGTTATTAAATCATTATTATATGGAATTCTTCAGGGGTAAAGTGTTTTGAGTTTGGAATTCTTCAGGGGTAAAGGATTTTGAGCTTGGAATTCTTCAGGGGTAAAGTGTTTTGAGTTTGGAATTCTTCAGGGTAACGTATTTTGAGTTTGGAATTCCTCAGGGGTAAAGTGTTTTGAGTTTGGAATTCTTCAGGGGTAACGTGTTTTGAGTTTGGAATTCTTCAGGGGTAAAGTGTTTTGAGTTTGGAATTCCTCAGGGATAAAGGATTTTGAGCTTGGAATTCTTCAGGGGTAAAGTGTTTTGAGTTTGGAATTCTTCAGGGGTAATGTGTTTTGAGTTTGGAATTCTTCAGGGGTAAAGTGTTTTGAGTTTGGAATTTCTCAGGGGTAAAGGATTTTGAGCTTGGAATTCTTCAGGGGTAAAGGATTTTGAGCTTGGAATTCTTCAGGGGTAAAGGATTTTGAGCTTGGAATTCTTCAGGGGTAAAGTGTTTTGAGTTTGGAATTCTTCAGGGGTAAAGTGTTTTGAGTTTGGAATTCTTCAGGGGTAAAGTGTTTTGAGTTTGGAATTCCTCAGGGGTAAAGGATTTTGAGCTTGGAATTCTTCAGGGGTAAAGTGTTTTGAGTTTGGAATTCCTCAGGGGTAAAGTGTTTTGAGTTTGGAATTCTTCAGGGGTAACGTGTTTTGAGTTTGAAATTCCTCAGGGGTAAAGTGTTTTGAGTTTGGAATTCTTCAGGGGTAACGTGTTTTGAGTTTGGAATTCTTCAGGGGTAAAGTGTTTTGAGTTTGGAATTCCTCAGGGGTAAAGTGTTTTGAGTTTGGAATTCTTCAGGGGTAAAGTGTTTTGAGTTTGGAATTCTTCAGGGGTAACGTGTTTTGAGTTTGGAATTCTCCAGGGGTAAAGTGTTTTGAGTTTGGAATTCCTCAGGGGTAAAGGATTTTGAGCTTGGAATTCTTCAGGGGTAAAGTGTTTTGAGTTTGGAATTCTTCAGGGGTAAAGTGTTTTGAGTTTGGAATTCTTCAGGGGTAAAGGATTTTGAGCTTGGAATTCTTCAGGGGTAAAGGATTTTGAGCTTGGAATTCTTCAGGGGTAAAGTGTTTTGAGTTTGGAATTCTTCAGGAGTAAAGTGTTTTGAGTTTGGAATTCTTCAGGGGTAAAGTGTTTTGAGTTTGGAATTCTTCAGGGGTAAAGGATTCGAGCTTGGAATTCTTCAGGGGTAAAGAGGTTTGAGATTGAAATTTTTCAGAGTTTGGAATTCTTCAGGGGTAAAGTGTTTTGAGTTTGGAATTCTTCAGGGGTAAAGGATTTTGAGCTTGGAATTCTTCAGGGGTAAAGAGGTTTGAGATCGAAATTTTTCAGAGGTTGGAATTCTTCAGGGGTAAAGTGTTTTGAGCTTGGAATTCTTCAGGGGTAAAGTGTTTTGAGTTTGGAATTCTTCAGGGGTAAAGGATTCGAGCTTGGAATTCTTCAGGGGTAAAGAGGTTTGAGATCGAAATTTTTCAGAGTTTGGTATTCTTCAGGGGTAAAGTGTTTTGAGTTTGGAATTCTTCAGGGGTAGAGTGTTTTGAGCTTGGAATTCTTCAGGCGTAAAGGATTTTGAGCTTGGAATTATTCAGGGGTATAACTATGAAAAATATGTATCCTCGACAGGGGGGGTACGGATATTAAATGGAATAGCCCATTGGTCGTTCCCACGGAGCGTGATAATTTGTATATTTTGTATTGCGGAAATGGAAAAAGTTGACCATAAATCCTCTTTTATGCAGTCAATTTTGGGTTTTTAAGTGTGGAACTTGTTGTCAACGATACCAGATCGTTGGAGCTTCATATTGTGAATAACGGGTATGCAAAATTTAATTATTTTTTCTGAAAATATCAGTATTTGTCGACCCGTATGAAGGGCGGCCATATGACAACTATGGACAAACCACTGCGATTTTTCAATATTTTGCTGTTAAATATATCATGTTGTGTGTGGAATTAAGATTTTGATGCATATTCATATATAAATATAGTTCCACCAATTCCAAATAAGACATTTTGAGCTAGTATCGCCATTGCTTCATGGCAAAATTGTAAATGTAATAATGTATTTGTGAAAGACGGCAACATTGAAAAACATTTTAGTCACAGTTTATCAATTAATGGCAAAAGTAGTCAATATAAAACATGGAATGAACCAAAACAAAAATGATTCTTACTTCTTAGTATGTGTATATTTATTTACGTACAACATATCATGTATTATTTTATAGTTCCATGGAATCACATCATGATTAAAATCTATTAGAAGCTAGAGAACAATTGCAACTTTATATTCGCACGCAATATAGTAACGTAATTGCTATTGTTTTATGTAAATATAGTTGATAATCCAATGGTATGAATATGCTTCAAACTATCTTTAATTGATGTTAAGAAATATTTCTTTCTATTGAGTCCTGTGAGTACAAGACCTTTTGCTTTTAATTCAAGCAATCAAATTGCCAAATTACTGTAATAGGTCACTGTTTTAATACAGTAATTTGTATTTTAGAACTGCTTTAGGCTAATATGGGAAAACCTGTTTTGTAATGACACACATTATTTCTTGCATTATTGTATAAGATCAGTGAAATAAACTGCTTGATGCACAGTAAATTTTATAGTCTTAAATATAGTTACATTCATTATTGTATGAATAATTCTATTGCAGGGCATTTTTTAAGAATTCATCAGTGGGGGGGCCATCTACAAAAAGGGACCATACTATACCGAGTGTGGAGCAATGATAGATGGTTTGTTGGTAACAAAAAATTTGGTGTGGTATCGCATTTAATAGTAGGGGGGGAGAGCAGGCCGTAGGAAGCTCTTTTCGTTTGGGGGGGCTGAAAGCGAGGGCCGAAGGCCCGAGGAAATTTTTAAATTTAGAGTCTCTGAAATGCCATTTCCTGGACTTTGGGGAAGATTTGACAGATTTCTGATTGTCAGAAAACAGCGTTTTTAGTATGTGGAAATTTAGAATTCAGTAGTACTAAATGGGCGAAGGTGTATTTAATTAACGATATATTGGATAATATACCCTGGAGAGGGTCTGGGGTTTTCTCTCCCAGAAAATTTTTGTATTTTTCTACCCCTATGACTGCAATTCCCTGCATTTTCTGAAACAGATTTTTGGATATACAGCATTACATTATGCTGGAGATAGACTGAACCTTCAGTTAAGTACTTCATAGTATGTTTATGTAAATACCACAACTTGGCCGTCACTTAGAGAGCCAGCTTGATAAACTTAGAGTTCCCGACTCCCACGAAGTGCCACCATGGTTGGCACAGAGCGAAATAATTTTGAAAATTTTGCTTCTCTAAATCGTCGGAAATGGCATTTTCAAAGTCTTGTATACGTCTTTTGTTAGGCCCTTTCATTAATTCGTTCATTATGATTTGCGAGTCTATGATATCCGCGAGTCATGATGGATTATTACGAGAAATGTTATCAAAATATCGATTACAGATATTTGATTATATGTATATATGATTTCAAATACTTCTAGTTTCGAAATCAAATTGTTTTTTTTTTGGTGGGGGGCCAAAGTTATCCGCCCCCCTTATAAAACACTTGGTTGAGGGCCTGTTGCCCCCTGCGGTCACTAACTTGTCCAACAACTCAAATCTATAGGGTCTGGGAAATGCAATCCACTGCCTGGGAAATGTTTTAAAATCTAAGGTATTTATTAAACATAAAAGACAGGACATAATATTCACAAAGCAAATTTCAGTTACTAGAATATTAAACCTCCCTTCTGAATTCCATGTTTTGCTTATATTTTAGAGAAAAGGGACTTTGACTGGGGGGGCCAAAATGGTTGAGTGGGGGGGGGCCACCATGGGGGCTGGGGGGGCTTTGGCCCCCCCAGTTATATAGTTAAAAAATGCCCTGTTCTATTGTTATAATAAAATACTACTTTTGACTTTGTGTAATAGTGCTTTCCAATTCTTTGACTCATATCAAATGCACAATATTAAACTTTTCTTAAAAAATAAACGAAATTTGCAAGTACTCTCAGGAATTAAAAACATGATAAACTCTCAATTTTAGCCTTTTGAGTTTAGTGGTTACTGTAAATATAATTTAAAAAACATGTTCAATTTAAAAAACATTTTTGGAGACTTGTGGCAAAGAGTTTTTACCATTTTCGCACCAATTGTAATTAAGTTGAGTTAAACTCAGCAAATTTCACAGCAATGGGAAAAGTTAGAGGTCCTCAGTGTTGTGCTTTTGAATGTTCCAAATGTAAAAAAGTCTGTCCTAAGTTTTCATAAAGTATAAGAAGTGATAGTGAAGGGTCAAGTGATGAAGAATCAAAACTCAAAAGAAAACTTCCCAGGACATTTCATCAGTAAGCAATTTATTTTTACATGTATACTATTTTATAGATTGAAACTACTAGACTTGCATTACATGATAAACATCCTTTACAGATTTCCTAAGGATAAAGTTCCAGCTTCTTTGTCTGATAAACATCCTTTATAGATTTCCTAAGGATAAAGTTCTGGCTTCTTCATTGTCCATACCCAGTTTTTTTACTGAGCTAGATCACCATCTTTTTGACTCACCAGTTGGTGAAAATTATGGTGTTCAGTTGATCAAGAACATCAAGAATTACTGCAAAGTTAAATTTTATCATCTTGGAAAGAAGACCACTGAGAATTCATCTGGATAAAAAATTGGAAAGAAATTAAACAAACTTGTACTTTTTAACCACCAGTGATTTATACATGGAATGTATCAGAGGAAGTTAGTTATTACTAAAAATTTAGAGTGAAAACCACCCAAGATGAAAGTGCAGACTCTGTCTCAAACATTTTGCTAAATATTTACTATGAAACTGCCCAAGCTGAAAGTGCAGACTCTGTCTCAAACATTTTATTAAATATTTACAGTGAACAATGCCCAAGTGCAGACTCTATCACAAACATTTTACTAAAAATTTACAGTCAACAATGCCCAAGCTGATAGTGCAGACTCTGTCTCCAACATTTTATTAAAGATTTACAGTGAACAATGCCCAAGCTGAAAGTGCAGACTCTGTCTTAAACATTTTACTAAAGATTTACAGTGAAAAATGACCAAGTGCAGACTCTGTCTTAATTAATTAAACATTTTACTAAAGATTTACAGTGAAAATTGCCGAAGCTGAAAGTTCAAAGTGAAGACTCGGTCTTAAACATTTTACAGTATAAACTGCCTTCGCTGATAATCTAAACGTTACTTACCAATTTTCTATTTCCATAAAGTGGTGCCAGAAACTGTAAGAAGATGTATATTATACGATATTTCGCCAGAGAATCATTCACAGTTTGAATATGCACTTTACACTTGACAATATAAAGAATGCAGTAATTCGAAATTTTTAGCTTTAAAATGCGATTGAAAGACAACAACATCGCCAATTAATGTTTTTCTTGTAACCTTTTCCAAAAAAGATACGATTTCAACGCGAACATATCTCAAAAAGGTATTTTTAATCCACAAATGCAGAAAAGTATAGTATTTTCTATAGAATTTCATTGATGAGTGGGAACGACCAATATGGCCGCCGCCTATTTTCATGGGGGAAACCGCTAAGATTTTTGGCTTCAGTTTTGTATTCTGAGATGCGCTATCTAGTGTATATGAGATATCTATGCGCATATACGACTTGTCTTGTCGCATCTTCGAGTCATGTCGAACTTAATCAAAACCTGTCGAACTTAATTGATTTAGACGCCGCTCCAGCGTCGCACTTAATTCTTGCATTAGATTCGGCGCATGAGAAGTTCGCCGTCTAAACCGGGCCTTACTGATCTTCAGACCTCCATCTAGACCGACCCAGTACAAAGCTGCATGTAAACGTTATAATTTGAGCTGCAAGGTCTAAAATATCTGGGCATTTCTACAGCATGCAAAACAAAACAAAACAAAACACAAATTGTACATTGTTATGTCCAGATTTGTGTAGGAGTTTAATGCTTCATTGAAAATTAATTACACGTTTGTAATTAAATTAAAGAGTTCCCACTATAGTAGAACATTAGCATATGGAATAGGATTATGCGAAAGATGTCTAAATATGGCAACCGTGGAAAGATAGATGTAGCTCCTCTTGCTCCGTTTGATCCGATATAAGAACCGACATCCTTAAGTCAACGCTGGAAAGCTTGGAAACGCAGATTCGAAACGTATTTAATCGCGGTAAATGTGAAAGATAATGCCCATGCAGAAACGAGCATTGTTACTTTATCAAGCCGGTGAGGCAACACAGGAAGCCAGGAAATCTTCGATACACTTTCAGACACAGGAGAGACAATGATTACAAAACTGCAATTAATTGAGCAAAGCAAAACGCCGATGAACTAACAGACCTATTTGCAACACGACTTCGCAACCTAGCAGCTCACTGTGAATTCCACGATATAGAGTGTAGACCACGAAATAAAATCGGCTATTATTCAAAATTGTCGATCTAAACATCTCAGGCGGTATGCCTTACGGCAAGATAAAGTGACTCTCACCGAGTTAATTGTTATCGAAAGCTAGAGCATTGGAAAATAGCGAACAGCAAGCCAAGGGCGTTGAAAAACGTTCAGCATCGACGAATATTCAAGACGAAGAAGCAAAGTTTGTAAATCCCCCAAGATCGAATGGACAACAGCGACGACAACAGTGTCGCAACTGTGGATTATCTTTGGCCTCATCGTGACGCACCTTACCCTGCTAAAGGACAAATATGTCGAAAATGTAATAAACAAAACCATGCATTACGCCCGAGTTTGTCGCAGCGGCGTACCATCGACAAGGAATCCTATTAATACAAGACCTAGACCTATCCGCCCAGCGGCAACAATCAACACAATATTCAACAGGTTGGATATCAGGAAGACCACTATTCGAATTACCCTAGTAGCAGCAGCGATGATGAGCATTTATATACATGTGTCGACTCTGAATCAACAAAAATGCCTTCAACCAAAGTACAAATAAAGGCCCTGTTACACGGTGCAATTTTTCATGCAACTTGTCTCGCAATGTTTAAAAAAAGATTTTGGTAATGCATTGCAAGAGGTGTTACACGCTGCAATGATATTCATGCAATTCGTAACGATACGGGACAGAGGCATGCGAAGAGAATAGGGAGAGGCGCAATTTGGCGCCAAATTTTAATTAAAGTAAAGCGTGTACTGGGGAGAGCCAATAGGAACTCTCCAAGCATTAAACATTGCGAGACAAGTTGCACGAAGCCATGTTACACGCTGCAATGCTAAAAATAATTAGTGCAACCGTTGCCAAAAGTTGAACCGACTTCAACTCTCTGCAATGCTTCATGCAACTTGTCTCGCAACGATTTTGACCATTGCAAGGCATGTTAAACGGTGCAATGACTCGTGCAACTTGTCTCGCAACGCCATTGCGAGACAAGTTGCATGAAAAATTGCACCGTGTAACAGGGCCTTAAACAATGTACATGCATGTCAAAATGATCATAGGCACTGCATGTGGCATCAACTAACATTATTGAAAATACTTTCGCCCTTATCAACAAATACAAACGTATCTCATGAAAACGAACACGTAATAAACTCTTTGCGTATGGTTGCAAATAACAATTACCAGTGATTGGGAAATTCGAAGCCACAATGGAACCAAAAAAACGAATGACTGCCTCTGATCTACTATTCATGTAGTCAGAGCTAGGCAATTATTCATTATATATGGTTCACTGTTAAGTTATCAAACGGCGACAGAACTAAAGTTACTAAACCTTATAAAAGTAAACGTCAACAATGTCAAAATCACCGGTAATGACAAAATTGAACAATGTCAAGACTCTCTAAAAGATAAAATGGACAAAAAATTTCCCCATTTGTTCCATGGAATTGGAAAATTACACAATTTTGAGGCAACGTTGCATATTGATTCTTCTGTACACCCTGTAGCACAACCAGCACGTTGAATTCCATTTCATTTGCGAAGAAAAGTTTCTGCTGCTCTTAAACAACTGGAAAAGGATGACATAATCGAGAAAGTTGAGGGGCCCACACCATGGATTTCGCCTCTTGTTGTTATTCCCCAAAATGACGGAACTGTGCGCCTTTGCGTTGATATGAGGCGTGCAAATTGTGCTATCCAGAGAGAGCGACACGGTTGATGATCTTATACTGTACATGCAATGAATGGTGCCAAGGTATTCTCTAAACTTGACTTGCGCATGCGTTCGGGATATCATCAGTTATTGTTAGCAGAGGAAAGTAGATATATTACCACCTTTGTCGCACATAAAGGATTACGTAGATATAAAAGGCTTAATTTTGGAACTAATTCAGCTAGTGAACTATTCCATAGGCCTGGGGTAAGGGATATCGGTCAAGTGTCGCTTTCGCTCTCTGGTTGATTGATCTTTGGGATTGAGATGATGTTAGCTTCTTTCCAATTTCTTGGTACGACACTAGAAGAGAGTGATTTGTTAAAAATGATGCCTATTGGTCTTCCTAGAATATAAGCAAACTCTTTCAGAACTCGGCTTAGAATTCTGTCGCAGGCTTGGGGTTCGAGATTGTTTGAATCATTCTCGTACCCAAAGGCCTTCTTACGCGCGTTCGACCAAGCGCGACGAGGGGCTCTGGCCTGAATCCATATCAAACAGGCATCTGATTGGCCATAGTTCTAATACCGGATATTATTCTCTTACCATATTTTTATGGTATCCGGTTATGGGTACGAGAATGAAGCCAAACTTGAAGGCCAGTCCCAGTCTTTTCGCGCATGCGAAGAGCGCTGAATCAGTCAAAACAAGTCAAGCTTCACGAAAAAGATTAAAGATAGGCAGTTTATCTGAGGGTAGCTTTCCAGTTATGTTTATTTTAGCCTGCGAACAGGCTCTCAAGCTGAATTGAGAGCCTGCATCGATGACTAATGAATTTGAATATCTGCGTCTCCAATCGTGACGCGAAATTCTCATTGGTCAGATGCTATAATTTATATGTTTCCACTGAGCTCTATATATGTCAACTGCAGCATTATGCATAAAAAACACATTAATTGATCTAATTGGTCTTGGCCGTCTTATCTCAAAGCACGAAATGTTCTGTTTTGAGAAAACTGTATTTAAAACATTTGAACTTTTGCTTGAATATCTTATATTTCGAAAAACAGTATAAACTGTACAGTCTAAATTTAGTTTGCACGGTCTAAATTTAGTTTGCACGAAAGTTGTAAACAACACCATATAAGGATAGACATTCCATATTTGGAAAAACGAACGTTACGGGGCAGATATTCAAATTCATTAGTCATCGATGCAGGCTCTCAATTCAGCTTGAGAGCCTGTTCGCAGGCTATGTTTATTTCAGTGGGTTTTCCCATTCCATTTTCTGTCTTTCATTCCCAGTCCCAGTAACCCAAATCCCATTTTCCCAGTCCAAAATTTTCCCAGTCACTTTCACATTTACCCCTTCAGAACTCTCTCAGTTTTATCCTCCAGAAGTTGATTTCTTGCATATTCAAACAAAATTTTGGATACATTCCATCTTGAAAGACTGAATATTAAGCCATTGAAACTCAATATAATATTTGAAAACTTTAAGTGTTAACATAATTACTTATTGTCTTCTTTGTGCGTATCGTGCTTTTGAACAATTTAAACATAATGTGTCAGGGTTTATTTTAAGAAAAATTTAGAACTGCACATATTAGAGATGTTAAGAAGCATCACGTGTTTGACTGGGGGGTAAAGGGATGTTTGACTGGGGGTCAAAGGATTTTTATCTATATTTAACGTTGTAAATTATGATAGACTCTTAATTTGTATGTACGTGGCAGAATAATGGCGTGGTTGGGTGGGGCCAGACAAACTCGATTCTGGGTGGGGGGCTACAGGATGGGGTGTTCCCCCAAATTTTGAATTTAGAGGCTCGTAAGTTCTGGCAAAGATTTGTTTCACCCAACCACCCACAAAAACTGTTTCAAAACATGTAACTGGGAATCATGAATACTCAATATATAAGGCATATAATAACCTTAGGCAGCAGAGAATATTAGGTTCTCCCACTCTAATCTCTTTTGGATAGCTTGGCTCGCCCCAATTTTACCTCCTGTTCCATTACCCCAGCACGTATGTGATTTGTGAGGAAAATATAAGGGTCTAATGGTCCTGTTCCACAAAGCATTTAGATTTTTGATGCTCAATGAGAGCATTTCCGACATCTGGAGCATCCACAAGGAAAACGAGTGAATGAGGTTATGAGTAAATGTTTTGAGGTTATATTTTTGTTAATTTGGTGAGTGCACATTTCAGTTTTAAGAACTGCACAAATGGGTTTAAAACTGCACATTTTGTGTAGAACTGCACGTTAAAATAAACCCTGTAACGGTGTGATTTATGCACTCCTTCGACGCATTAATGTCACATATAGTTAGATATTAAAGAAAATGAGCACTGCATAAGATCTCTTTTATCACTGCACAAATCCCATTTATCACTGCACAAATTGGTGATGCATCTTAAAATAATCCAGCGGCGTAGGAAGCTTGTGAAAGTCAGGGCGCGGGAGTCTCCAGATCGTCGGAACTGGCATTTTCAGGATCTTCTCTACCACTTTCGTTAAGCCCTTTCAAAATCTGTCTTCAGTATGATATGTAAGACCATGTAAGGTACCCGTGAGCCCATAACTTGCAGTAACTTGCCGATAATAAATGCATACACTCCCAAAAAATTACAGATACATTATTAATATAATATATAGTATATACGGTAATTTGAAATACTTTTTTTTTGGGGGGGGGGGGAGGCGAACGCTATCCTGGCCACCCCTTAGGGACCGGTGATTATTTATGGAAGGGGAGGGGAATTTTTTTCTTCCCTAAATTTTTAATATTGAAAGCCCCCCACCCCAGAACAGAAATTTAATGATGACTTCCCCTGCATATTAGAATATTTTTCTTTGACCCCCTCATTTTCATTTTTACTCGTCAAATGGGGATACCCAGGCGTTATAGTGTTAATTAATTATGGCACCCCTCTATTTTTGCCCTCCCCCTTCCATAAATAATGACCGGTCCTTTATAAAACATTGGGGGGGCGGAGCACCCCCTACTCCTACCCTATGTTCCTACCCCGCTGAATGGAAATATCTCGTGTGATTTCACACGAATTCCACGAAACCCGCGAGAGTTAGACTGCATTCGATTTTCCGATGTAGCTACCTCCTCCGCAGGCGCTTAGGGAGCATTTCGGGCAGGTTCGGAAAATGCGGGTTGCAAAATGGCGAGAGCTTCGTCTTTCGCTTCAAGTTTCTAAAAGTGGCCCGCAAAAATTTGCACAGCCCGCAAATTTGCCCGGAAAAAGGGCTTACGGAGGAGGTAGCCGATGTAGTGTCTATGTTCCACACATCAATAAACATCAATTAGAAATTGTACATGTGTATATTATGAACCGGTATATGTTGGCTAAGATGTCAAGGCTATGGCCATTCAGACCTGCTATAAAGAAGCTACTGCAACGTAGATTTGCTTGCAAACAGCACTATTTAGCGCAACAAATCAATAGTCTTCACACAAGTGTCTGCAGGACTTCATACGAAGAAACATACCAAAGATCTATCGCAAGTCCAGACATATTTTGGGACAAAGTTGCAAAGAATATAGATTGGTTTAAGCCGTACGAGCAGGTCCTGGATGACGCTGAATCTCCCTTCCCCAAATGGTAAGACTAAATTATTTAAATAGCCAACCACAAGACCAGAAATGTATTTAATAAGGCACGCTATAATTGTAACTGGCCTTCACAAAACGGTGCCTAGTTGCAGAATCTCTGCTCTAAATTTAATACTACAAACAATGCCGTTTTCTAAAATAGAATTATTGTTCTGTGATAGAATGCAAAAAGTTCAAACGTGAATTTAATAGGTCTTAATAGTGTGGGGTTTTACCTATTATATTATATGAACTTTTATATTTATAATTTTGTTTATATTATTAGCATATATAATCCTATATTAGGCCCCTCCCCTTGTGCCCTGGCAACTTATATATTTCAAAATGCTAAAAGGAGGGAGTGTATTTGGGGGGTTGTACCTGTGTGTTATGTGCACAAACAGATAAAGATTATTAATGACAGCATGCAGTGTAGCCAGGGTCGAATGGTTGGGTGGAGGGGTGAGCATCGAGTGGCAAAGCCACGAATCACCTAGGGGGAACACTTCTAGGCATCGGAAACGTCATTTCCCACATTCTGATACAAGTTTTTAAAAGTAATTGGAAGGTCATAAATCACAAAATTATGTTATTATTACATTGGAACAAGGCACAATACACAGTTATGAGATGTATTGATTATATTCATTATCAACTAAACATTTCATAAAATTTTTCACCTGTTGTCATCATCAAGGATTTGCTAGCTAAATTTAAACTAAATCCATTTTTTCTGGGAGCAATATTTGCAAATGTTTGTACAAGGTTTTCTAGATTTAATAAATTATACATTACTATCAATTGGATTTGACTTGTTGCTTACCTCATCTGCCCCAATACCGTAAACCTCCGACTATAAGCCCTGGGCTTATATTCTTTCATAAGCGATTTTTGATGGGCTTGTGTAAGGGGGGCTTTTATCCGGGGGGGGGCTTATACATGGACGATCTTTTGTGTTAGTGTAATAGTGATAAACAAGTATAGTAATATTTAGTGATAAACAAGTGTTAAGCATAGTAATAATAGTGATTAATAGTGGTAATAGTGATAAACAATATACAGGGTGTATCAAAAAAAACTGAACAGATTTGAAATCGCTCTCAATTTCGCAAAACACCTATTTGTATCCCGTTTTTTATATATATAGCTTCTTTGGGTACTTATAATGTAGAATAATGAAAAAAAATTCTCAAACTCAAATTTGGTGAACCAGGGGGGGGGTGTCTTTTCCAACAAACTAAAAATGGCTCGCGCACAAAATGTAAAAGCTTTAATCATATTTTGAGTTAATAGATGGAAACATTGTTTCGTTTTTAATTACTGTACAAAATTTCAGACAATTTGGTTTAGTTTCAGCCGTTTAACTATTCATTTTATTCTAAAAAATCAGCCTTTCGCATGCTTAATTAATGCATTTACCTAATTTGCATATTGCTAACATATGCAAATTAGGCAAATGCATTAATTAAGCATGCAAATAGCTGATTTTTAGGAAAAATGTAAGTTTGCGTGAATAGTTAAACGGCTTAAACTAAACCAAATTGTCTGAAATTTTGTACAGTAATTAAAAATCCGACAAATGTTCCATCTATTAACTCAAAATATGATTACAGCTTTTAAATTTTGTGCGCAAGCCATTTTTATTTTGTTGGAAAAGACACCCCCCCCCTGGTTCACAATATTTGAGTTCAAGAAATGTTTTTCATTATTCTACATTCTAAGTACCCAAAGAAGCTATATCTATAAAAAACCAGATACAAATAGGTGTTTTGCGAACTTGAGAGCAATTTCAAATCTGTTCAGTTTTTTTTTTGATACACCCTGTATATATATATATATATATATATATATATATATATATATATATATATATATATATATATATATATATATATATATATATATATATATATAACGAAGTTACTCTCGACGCAATCATAATTCGCCCCCTTACTGTGAGCCATTGTCGCTGAAATCGCTTGGAAACTTGCCTCTTATCGAAATATCCAAGCCATTTATAACTCAGAAGAAGGAAACCTTTTTAGAAAACCCATCAAATATATTGAATGATAATACAACTAGCACTGAGACAGTTACTCAGCATGTGTGCATTGGCCAAATACCAGCTGATATCTCTGAATTTATTGTCTTAGACGGCGACGAATGCATGTCTGAGTGTGACAATACTAATAACTGTCCTTTTCGGCAGAGCTTTCTGGAGCGTCCCCCGCCCTTGCCTCATGTTCGAAGAGCGGAATGGTTGGCGCATTTAAATCTTGTTCGCCGGCTGACGGCAAAGTAAATTCTAAAGAAAATGAGAGAGAATCGCATGAAAATTACAGTTCGATTCTCGTTGAACTTCTTGTTCAAAAAATTCCTGTGAGAATAACCCATCGCGTATCAAACTTTCAAAGAAAAAAAATAAATGCAAAACCTAGTCAATTAAGAACACTACAGCATCAATCGGTTCCAGTACCAGGGAAAAGTTTCAACCGTAGAAATAACTTAATTTATATTAGTGGCCACCAAACCAAAAAAACGCCCTTACTCTCTTCTCTACCGAATTTATTTGTTTCTAATTCAAGATCGCTGATCAGCAAGATTGACGAACTGTCTGCTACAGTAAAATCCTATACATCAGACATTGTCGTTGTTACCGAAACGTGGCTTTCTTCAAATGTTCCTAATTCAGCAATAGATTTATGCGGTTATTCCCTACTGAGGCATGATCGTTCCGACGGCAGACGAGGAGGTGGAGTCTGTGTCTTTGTAAAGGACATGCTTCCGTTCATTCATCTTAAAGAGATTGAAAGTCACGAATATGAGTCGCTTTGGTTACTCTTAAAACCTCACCGCTTGCCTCGTGGTTTAAATTCAATTGTATTGGGAATCGTGTACCATCCACCTGGAAGTGACGATAAAGCCCTTCTTTCACACCTTACCGAATCAATCGATTCTGTCCTTTCCACCAATCCCGGGGCAGGAATTATTTTGGCCGAAGATTTTAACCAATTTAAACATCGCCAGTTATGCAGTTCCTTTAACCTCAAGCAGTTAGTCAAAGACGCTACTAGAGGAAAGAATATTTTAGATAAAATATTTACCAACATTTCCAAATTTTATAATTCTGCCCTGGTAATTTCTCCAATTGGACATTCCGATCATAATTCCATCGTTCTTAAACCTCTTCCAGCTAACTCTTATGGTGGCACAAGGTCTACACGTTTAGTACGAGACTCTCGCCCAACCAATCGTCGAATTGTTAGCGATCATCTGTCGAAAGTTAATTGGTTACCTTTGCACCATATGGAATCTTGTGACGAGCAGTTCCAGTATTTTCCCACCATCGTTGATAATATCATAAACGAACATTTGCCTTGGAAACAAATCAAAATTGATTCTAGTGACAAGCCTTGGATTACTTCCGAAATAAAATCTCTTATTTCCAAGCGGCAAACAGCATGGGCGGCTGGCAATAACCGGATGTTCAGATTCTATCGAAACAAAGTCAATGCACTTTGCAAAAAAGCACGACTAAATTACTACAATAAAAGTATCGCGGGCGTTCAACAGTCCGATTCTCGTAAATGGTGGTCAGCGGTGAAGAATATTGCCGGTCTTCAGTCTCTAAGAATGTATCTACAATGATGTTCCAAGGTAAATCCTACTCTGATGCCGATTTAGCAAACTTGCTCAACGACAAGTTCGTTGCTGTAGGGTCCTCCTTACCCAATCTAAACTGGCTCCCCCTTCCCACAAATGACATTCCAGATGATTTCTGCATCTCTGTCGAGGAGACTGAAAAGGCCCTATTATCATCAAAACTTCATTCATCTGCTGGTCCCGATGAAATTCCCTCTTGGCTTCTCCGGGAAAACGCTTCAGTGTTGTGTCGACCTTTGTGTTCTATTTTTAATTCATCAGTTCGTGAAGGATTTGTTCCCTCAATATGGAAGGCAGCAAATATTACACCAGTTCAAAAATCTTCGCCTCCTAAAGATGTTGATTCTGACTTCAGACCAATCTCCCTCACACCAATTATCAGCAAGATTCTTGAATCCTTTCCCTACAAATGGCTACTTGACTCCGTCTCAAAAAAATTGATTCCTTGCAATTTGGTTCGCTGAAGGGTTCAAGCACTAGTATGGCATTAATCTACATGCTACATAAATGGTTTGAAGCAGCTGACAAACAAGGCAACACTATACGGATTTGTTTACTTGATTTTGCCAAGGCGTTTGATAGATTAGATCATAACATTCTGTTGGAAAAATTGAAAGACATGGAAATTCATCCCGTGTTACTCAACTGGATCGCAAACTTCCTAACAGGCAGACAACAAAGAACCCGTGTTGGTCAGTTCTTTTCTGAGTGGAAGTTTTTAAACGCCGGCGTCCCACAAGGAACGAAACTTGGCCCGCTATTATTTTTGATCATGATAAATGACTTGGCTGTAGTGGATGAAACTGTTAAATTTGTCGATGATACTAGCCTTTGGGAAATAATATCAAACAATTCCCCTTCCCAGTTACCCGCTAACATCATCAGCTGCTCTGAATGGTCATCAGACAATAATATGAAGTTAAATGTATCAAAGACCAAAGAATTGCGTGTCTGCTTTTCTAAGCTTACTCCATCGTTTGCCCCTATTAACATTCGCGGTCAAGAGGTCGACGTCGTTTCCGAGGCCAAACTATTGGGCGTTGTCCTTTCGGACGACCTCAAATGGAACTGCCATATTGACTACATTTGCAAGAAAGCCGCGAAGCGTTTGTACGGTCTGCGCCTTCTTAAAAGAAATGCTTTACCTTCTCATATTCTGATCTCAACCTATTGTACACATATTCGACCAATTGTCGAATATGCTTGTCAGGTGTGGCATTATGGCCTTCCTCATTACCTGAGTGATCAAGTTGAAAAAATACAAAAAAGGGCATTAAAAATTATTTTCCCTGGAACTATCTATGCTGAATGTTTGCTTAAAGCTAACTTGATGACTTTTTACGAACGTAGAACTCTTCTTTGCAAGCGACTTTTTCGAAGATGTTGGAACCCACTCATAAACTGAATGCCTTAGTACCGCCTAAAAGTCTTCAAACTTATAATCTGAGGTCTTATCCCAACTTATTAGTACCTAGGTGTAGAACTGAACGTTTTTCGAACAGTTTCATTCCTGCTGCGTCTCGTGCTTATAATAATAAGTAAACTTTAGATTATTATCGTTATTTTTATCTAACTTACCTATTTTTACCTGTAAATATAGAATAGATTAAATACCTATGTTCTTATACCCTGTAATTCCAAAGTAATTCAGTTGTTACTGCTAGTTTGGAAATTTATAATAATAATAATAATAATAACATACTTTGAGGTTACGTCTACTAATATAGATACTAACACTAAAACAGTTTTGGGCTTGTCATGGGACACAACTTCTGATGAGTTTGTTTTTCGTTTTGACAACTTGTTGAGTAAATGTTGTAGCATGACACTAACTAAAAGGAATATTTTAAGTGTGTCGGCCTCTATTTTTGATCCTCTAGGCATGCTTGCTCCGGTTACTGCAAAGCTTAAATCATTGTTTCGACTCCTTTGTAAGGACAAGTTGGATTGGGATGACGTAATCCCAAAGGAACTTGAAGAAATTTGGGGGAAAATCATAGGTGATTTAAAGTTACTTAAGGAAGTTAGGTGCGGTCGGTTTGTTCGTATTAGTAATTTTCATGCCGGTGTTCGTGTTGAGCTGCATGGTTTTAGTGACAGCTCCAAGGAAGTTTATTCTGCGGTTGTTTATCTTCGGCTCATTTATGCCGGTGCTGTTAAAGTCAGTTTCTTAGCTTCTAAAACTAAGGTCGCTCCTTTAAAAGCCTTAACTATACCAAAATTGGAACTCTTAGGTTGTTTGTTGCTTAGTAAGTTGGTTAGCCAAATAGTCACAAGTATAGGAAGTCGAGTTGGTATTAATGCTATTATTTGTTGGTCTGATTCGGAGGTTGCTCTAGCCTGGATTAGGGGTAAGGAAAAATCTTGGAAACCGTGGGTTGAGAATAGAGTGGTTGAAATACGGTAGGTGGTTGATAGGGCTGGTTGGAGATATGTAAAGAGTCGGCTAAATCCTGCGGATGTGCCTACTAGGATTTCTTCCAATATTTGTGAGTCTTTTACTGGTTGTTGGTTTGAGGGACCATCGTTTCTTTTGTCACTAAAGGATTATGCTGAGGTAGAAGTTGAGAATAGTGGTGGGGGTAAGATTTCCCAGGCGGGAATGGCTGAAGTGGCAAACTTCAGTAATCAGACGCACAAGGGCCAAGATAACCAAAAATGTTCATTAAGTTCTGTCATTAACAGTAATCGCTTCAGCTCGCTAAAAAAGCTTATTCTGGTAACGGGTTACGTATTACGATTCGTGAACAATTTACGAAAGAGAGTGAAAAGAGAAACAAATTTGATCACGGAGTATATGATAACGGTCACTGAATATAACGAAGCTCTAATTATGTGGATTAAAGATGAACAGTTCCAGTTAAAGCAACAAGATAATTACTCAAAGCTCGAAGCATCATTACATTTATTTGAAGACAAGGACGGTGTTCTTCGATTACGAGGTCGATTCGCCAATGCATCGTTACAATATGAAGAACAGTAACCGATTATTTTACGGAATAGACAAAGCTATTTTACTCGGTTGGTGATTTTAAACGCGCATGAAGAGACAATGCACCATGGCGTAGAGACAACGTTGGCACGCATTAGATCCAAGTACTGGATTATCGAAGGGAGACGGTCGGTCAAGCAAATGTTGAGAAAGTGCGTAGTGTGCACACGTGTGCAAGGACTACCTATGAGAGCTCCTCCAAGTCCAGACTTGCCTGACTTTAGAGTTGATCACTCTGGACATGCCTTTCAAGCAACGGGACTCGATTTTGCAGGTCCACTATTTGTCAAAGGAGATTTGAAACACGAGAAAACGTACATTCTCTTATTAACTTGCGCAACAAGTCGAGCCGTACACTTGGAGCTCGTACCGGATATGTCGATCGGTGGATTTTTACGTGGGTTTAAGCGATTCATGGCGCGAAGAGGTAGTCCGGATGTCATCATTCACGATAACTTTAAAACATTCAAAGCAGCTGCAGTCAAGAAGTTCATGTTATTGCAAGGGATCAAGCAGAACTTTATTTTGCCCTTATCACCCTGGTGGGGTGGGTTCTACGAACGACTTGTTAGGACAGTGAAAACGTGCCTAAAGAAAACTTTAGGAAAAGCATTTGTGACTTTCGAGGAGTTACAGACTGTGCTCTGCGAGATTGAAATGGCTATTAACAACCGCCCTCTAGCATACGTTAGTGACGACGATTTGGACGATGCATTAACGCCGCATCATCTAATACACGGTCGTAACGCATTTAAACAAGCGAAAGCAATTGATTTCGTTCCTACTATGGACCTGGAGAAATGTAAACGTAGATTGCTTCACGTGCGAAAGGTATTGAGAGACTGTTGGGCAAGATTCCGTTGTAGCTATCTGAATGAACTGAGGCAAATGAATATATATCGGAAGACAAAAGGTGAAAATACACGGCGTATTAGCGTGGGGGATGTCGTTCTAATCAAGGATGACGAACTTTCGATGCGCACTCAGTGGAGAATGGGGAAAGTGTTGGAGTTAGTGAAAGGTCGCGACGGTCAGATAAGGGGAGCCAAGCTCAAGGTACTCTCCAAGAAGGGAAAACAAACGGCAGTGTTTCGTCCGCTTCAAAGATTGATTCCTTTTGAAATCAACGAAAATCACGACTGCATGAGTGAACAGCAACAGAAGGAATCTAACGATAGTGTTGATAAAGACGAAAATGTGAATGAACCTGCTGCGACAGTGAACGAGGAAACCAGTGCGAAAAGGCCAACGCGAAAGGCAGCAGTAGAAGGACAAAACTTGCGACGCCTTCGAGAACAATATAATTAATTAAGCACTTCCAAACATTCACCAGATTTACTTTTTGGTGGGGGAGAGTGTGGAAACTTCATTTAGTATATTTATTAGTTTCGTTTTGCCATTGGTCAGTTTGATCACATGATCATATTACGTGGTCAGACCACATGGAGAATTTATTCATTATTGATTAAGGGTTTGATCAGCACGGTGTTTATGTAAATTATGCCAATAAAAACTATATAAAAAGTTGGACTAGTCTCGCTTTTTAAAGACCGTTTTGCTTGGATCATTTTGAGTTATGAAATTTTAAGCGCGTTGGACGTAAACAACAAATCTTGTCTACAACTTTGGGAAGGTGCCGGTATCGCTTTCTAAAATTCTCAGTTTTGCCTCTATCTCTATAAAATCACAAGGAC